GGGAGGGGCGGCGGGGGAGGGAGGGGCGGCGGGGAGGGAGGGGCGGCGCGGTGAGGAGGGCGAGTTGGGTCGGCCTCGGCGGGGAGGGAGGGGCGGCGGGGGAGGGAGGGGCGGCGGGGAGGGAGGGGCGGCGCGGTGAGGAGGGCGAGTTGGGTCGGCCTCGGCGGGGAGGGAGGGGCGGCGGGGGAGGGAGGGGCGGCGGGGGAGGGAGGGGCGGCGGGGGAGGGAGGGCGCGCCACTGCGCGAGAGATCGCATCGCAGCTGGGAGGCGCTCGGTGAGGACGTCGACGACGAGGAGAGGCTCGAGCAGAAGGCGCACCTGGGGGGTGGGGGTAGGGGGTAGGGGGTAGGGGGGGAGGGGCAGAGCAGGGGTGGGGGTGGGGGTGGGGGTAGGGGTGGGGGTGCGGCGGCAGCAGCATGGGCGGGGCTACGTGCTGCTCACCTCGAGCGGGGGCAGCCCGCCGAGCAACGCGTCTCGGAGCTGCTTCTTGACGCACCGCGCCGACCGGCCGCGCACGAGCGCCTGGTGCGCAGGCTGCGGCGTGTTGCGAGGAAGACAGGGGTGCGAATGTCCCCCGTGGGGAGTCGCCAGAGCCTGGATGCGCTTGGCGGCCGCGTTCACGCCGCTCATGCGGTAGCGTGCCGCCACCCTCCGCGCGGTGACGCCGCGCCAATGCGCTTGGATGGCGCAGACCAGCCGGCGCGTGCGCAGGAACTCGGTCCTCGGGCGCACCACTCGCAAGGTGGCCTGCAGCCTGCGCGTGGCTGTGTCGCGGCCGATGGCAGACGTTGTCGCGTGGCGCGCGGAGATGTGGCACACGCCGACGAGGTCCTCCGAGATTGGCAGCTTGAGCTGCAGGTGGGGCAAATCGACGACGCGCCGCTCTCCGGACGGCTTGCCGCTGTCCAGTGCCTATTCAATCTCGGAGCATCTCGGCTCACCTCGGGCGATCTCCCGTTTCCCCCAGTCGGCTTCCCGCTGTCCAGCGCCTTTGGCACGAGTTCACACGAGGCGAGCTCGCGCGGCAGCAGGCCTATCGCGATGACAGGCACGGACATAGAGCTGGCGCAGTAGGACTACATGAGAACACGTGCCGTGCTAGGAGTCGTGTAGGTGGTGCAGGGCTCGCGCGGCTGCAGGCCTGGCCGCTGCATGAGGCAGACGCGGAGTGTGTCCCCGAGCGGGTTGATGCGCAGCCGCAGCACCTCCGAGCTCCTGCAGAGGTGCGGGGAGAAGAGGGGCTTGGGCCCGAGACTGGGGCGCCCGCCACCACCGCCGGACTGGCTGTCGGCTTTTGCTGCCGCGCGCGCCGAAAGTGGACGATCCCCGACGGGTCAAAGATTGGGGGCTGGCCCTCGGTCTCCTTGGAGTCGCCCGACTCGACCATCTGCAGCCGGATCCACACCTTGCGCGTCCCGTCCACCACACCCGCCGCCTCGCGCGCCACCCGCTCGTCGTACGAAGAGCGCCAGAGCGCATCCACGTCCTCCGACCGAATCTCGGAGCGAGCGCGGTCGTCGTTGGCGGCGATGCGGGCGGCGGCCTCCGCGGCGGCCGCGCCGGCGGCGGTGGCGAGCAGCGACAGCGTGTGCACCCGCACGTCGAGCGTGTCGTACCAGTCGGCGGGCATGGCGGCTGGGACGTGGGCGACGAGGGCGGCGAGCTGCGGCTGCTGGAACAGGACGCCCTCGAGGTGATTTCGCGCCTCGCGCCGGATGCCGCGCTGGCGCAGCTGCACCTCGCGCCGCTCAACGTGCAGCATCAGCGTCTCCTGCGTCCGGATGTACTCCTTGACCGCCTCGAGCGACTGGAAGGTGCCGACGGGAGCGCCATTGATCTGCGTGACGCGATCGTCGACGCGGATCTTCTTGCGCTCGTCCTGCGCAGACGACTTTCGCAGCTCGGCGACTGTGAGCCCACCCCTGTGCTTCGGGTTGCCAGTCAGCTTGAGCAGGAACAGCCCCGGGTACTTCTGGCCCTTGTGCTGGCCGCTCTGGTCGCGACAGAGCCGCACGCTCATCTCGCCGACGCGTGGGCCACGGCCCTCGGCTGCACCTGCCGCCTCCGCAGGCGGGTCATCCATGGCAGGCAGCCACGCCGGGTTTTCTTTCTGCAACCAGGTTCCCTCTTCGGGCCGGCCCACCACCAAGAGGCCGACCCACCAGGTGTATATTATTTTTGCTTGGGCGGCCCTCATGACGGGGTAGGTAGGGTAGGTCTGGGCCCTTCCGTCGGGTTTTTCCCTGTCTTCACGCCGGAATTTTCACAGCAAAAAAAGAAATCGGGCTTACTCTGGGCCCGCCGCAGGGGCTGGCGCTGGGGTCGCCGTAGCGGCGGGAGCAGGCGCAGCCGCCGCAGGCGCAGGCGCATTGGCAGCCGACAGCTTCCTCTTCTGCTCTGCGGTGACCTTAGTGCGCAGCCCACCAACCTGTCGCACCAGCTCTCGCTCCAGATCCCCCACCAGAGCAGCGGCGGGCACCGGGTGAGAGGGGTGCGCCGCCGCATGGTGGGCGCGCAAGTTGTAGCTCCAAAACACTGGCCGCTTCCCTCCCTGCTCGGGCTCGCACAACTCGCACTCAACCAAGTGGTTGGTGCAGGGCGCGGGGGCGGACATCTTCTTGGCGTGACCGTGCGAGTACTTGAGCGGCTCCTGCCCCGCGACGCCCTTTAGCAGCACGCACTTGGTGCGGGGGTTGGTGGTTTTGGCGGTCGTGTCCAGCCAGCTGCGGCAGAGGCTGGCATCGCCGCCGCAGAAGCCGCACGGGTTGGCGGACGTGAGCCGTGCGGGCTCGTGCAGGATGTGGAAGCCCATATGCTGCCGCATCTCAAGCGACGGCCACACTTGCTTGCATATGCTGCACGCAACCTCCTTGGCTGCCGTGGTCTCATTGATCAGCTCGCCCCCAGAAGGCGAGTCGAAGAGAGGCGAGCCGTTGTGGACGTAGGGTACGCATGTCATCGACACCGACGTCTTGGGCACCTTGGACATCCGCTCGCTGTTGGCGTCCACCAGCGTGTCCAGCGCGTGCTTGAGGTCGTCCGAGGAGAAGACCAGCGTGTGCTTGTCGCCATCCTTTGCGCACTCGTAGTCGAGCGGCACGATCATGGGCGCAATCGCGCTGACCTGCTCCCCCCACCCTCCCTCGTAGAAGGTGCAGGAAGCACCATCCTCGCTGACGACCAGCGGCAGCACCCGCCCCACGACGAGCGCCTTCTCGTCCGCGAGGTCCGCTGCATCGAGGGCTGGGACGCGCTTGTCGCCGTTGCCCTTGTCCAGCCGATGCACTTCCACCACAGCGACGGTCACCTTGAGCGTGCCAGATTGGGACGGGCACTCATAGGACACGAGCGCCGCGACCGAGTCGTCGGGGTGCACGCTCTCGTGGAGGAACGCGCCGCCAGCCGCCTCCGCCTCGGCTGGCCGCTTGCGCGCAGCAATCCCTGCAACGCGTTTGAGCCGATCCGCCGACAAGCGTTGGTTGGCTCCGTAGGCGCCAGAGAACACCTCGCGCAAGAATGCCGCCTTGGGAACCGCCGTGCCATTCGTGTCAGGCACGTCGTACAGCATCGGGTCGACCTTTGTGTTCGCCTCGGCATCGGCGAGCGCCACCTCCTGCGGCAGCTGCTCCTCGAGCTCGAGGGTGGCATCCTCCTCCGGCTCTGTCATGCTACGCTCGCCAGCTGCGCTCCGCCGGCCATTGCTCCGCCCCTCCAACCCAAAGAATTTTCCAACCCAAAGAAAAAGAATTGAAACCGCCTCTTTGTGTGTGTGTGTGTGTTTGTGGTGACCATGAAATTTAGGCACCACACGCCCCACACTACTACGTCGAGGGGAGCTGCGCGCCGACGCGCACCCCGCGCGGCATCAGCACAGTGGGGTGCCCCCCCGCCCCCTCCCCGACTACCTCGCGCGCGATGGCGGCAAAGTCGACCTGGGCGGTGGGGATGAGGCCAGTCGCACAGAAGCGACCGCGCGCGCGCCCCATCCCCTCCGCCCACGCCTGCGGCACGTTGACCTTCGAAGGGTCGACGCAGCCGGTCCACGAGCGCGTGTTCCAGTGGTCGAGAGAGCCGGAGAGGCGGCGGCTGCCACGATCCCACTCGGGGCGCCGCGTGTAGATCTCGCAGACCTGCATCGCGGCGCTCGCCTTCTCCTCCAGCTGCAGCATGTCGAAGTTGGAGTGCGTGCCGGACATGGTGCGCAGGACGCCAAAGAAGCCCTCGAGCAGGTCGTCGCAGTCGAGAAAGATGTAGTAGACGGTGATGCCCTCGGCCTGCGCAAGTGCGACCGACTTGAACTTGGCACGAATCATGGAGGAGGTGTTGGAGTAGTTCTGGCCGGGGAGGAAGCTCGTGCCGTTGCGCCGAAACAGCACAAAGAGGAGGAACTGCAGCTCGGCGAGGTTGACGAGATGCTCGTGGATGCTCTTGTCGTTCGCCGTGAAGAGGAAGACGTAGCAGGCCGCGATGGCGCCGATTAGCTGCAGCTCCTTCGCCTTGACACCTAGGAGAGCGGGCACACCGAGGCCCGCCCCGCTCAGCGTCTCGGCCGTCACGTCGCTCAGCTTGGCTAGCGCCTGGAAGAGCATCACCATCGCCTCGACGTTCTGCTCGTCGTCGGGCTCGAGCATCTCCTTGATCTGCTTCTCCGTGTAGCCGAGGGCGGCGAAGATGCGGCGCCAGTCGGCGGCGTAGAAGGTGTGCGAAACGATCTGGACGCCCCGGTCCACCGCCTTCAGAGCGCGCTTGAAGCCCTTGCCATCGTGCTTGTAGTCCGTGTCGTCGGTGATGCAGTGCGGGCCGGAGAGCAAGTCGAAGAGGGGGCACTGCGCGAGGGTGTCGCGCACCTTGCCCTCTGGCATCCGGAGCCGCTGGTACCGCTGCACAGCACACTAGGGAATGGGGGGAGGGGCTGGGGTGAGAACAGTCGAGCGAGATTGGACCGAGATTAGGCGAGATTGCGCGAGATTGCGCGAGATTGGGCGAGCTCACCTGGCGAAAGATGCCAGCGCCGTCGCTCACCGAGTTGGAGATGGGGCCGCGCATCGCGTAGCCGCGCGGGTCCTCATACCAGACCTTCTCGATGAGCGCGATGACGCTGTGGTGGTGCTTCCAGTTGGTGTCCTTGCAGCACGAGCCCTGCGCCGCCACCGGCCGGCAGTGGTACTCCGTCTTGGAGTTGGGCGCAAGGGCCGCCACGAGCGCCTCCTTGGCGAGGTGGACTGTGCCAGCCTCGAACTGCGCCTTGAGGTTGATCGCGTCCGCCGCACTGTTGAAGAAGAGTGGTGCGCCGCCGCCGGGAGTGTGCTCGCGGCAGAAGCCGTAGATGCAGTTGCGCTGCTGGGCGAAGCGGGGGCGCCCGTCGACTGCGACGTTGTCCGCCATTAGCGTCCACAGCGTGCGACCCGACGCCGGCTTGGAGAAGATGAAGTGCTCCATGTTGCCCCTCACGATGGCCTCCTCGATCGCGGCGGGGCAGATGAGGAAGCGGTGCAGCGGCCGGCCGCACTGGTAGACAAAGGAGCGCGACGCGTGCCCGCTCGACTTGGACAGCGAGTAGAGGAGCCGGCCGCCGCTGAGGCGGAGGGCGAGCAGCGAGCGGTCGCAGTCCTCCTGGTCGTAGCCGCGCGGCGCGTACTCGCCGTTCACGTACTTGGTCACGAGCTTTTCGATCATCTCGGAGGTGGCGCCGCGCTTGAGCGCCTGCGAGAAGAGCTGGTGCACGCGTGGCAGCTTGTTGGCCGTGAGGAGCTTGAAGACGCGCTTGGTGCAGTCGCGGTTCTTGACGGCGCGGTCGACGGCGCGGCCCGCAGTGTGGCCCGACAGGTGCTCCGCGTGCCGCCGCCCCTTCTGCGTGTCTCGCCGCTCACACATCTGGACGTGAGACAGGTACGCGTCGTGAGCAGTCGTGGCGCTGAACCCGGGATCCACAGCCTTGCGCTCGAGCTCGTGCAGCCTGACCAGGGAGCCGAGCTTGCTGCACGCGGTGCACGGCATCGCCTCCTTCTCGCCCAGCTCGATGGTGACCAGCTGATCGCAGCCCGGCTCGGCAGGCCCTAGCCGCCGCGCGCGCACGACGCCGTCCTCGTCTGGCATGGTCCACGGCGGCTTCTCCGTGAGGTGGCGGGCGTAGGGGTAGTGCGTCGCAACGGGGTTGCCGCCGAGATTCAGCGTGTAGCCGGGGCACCGGTGCAGCAACTGCGCGTGTGCTTTGACCGCCTCCATCGCGAGCACCGCCGCCTCCTCGCCACCCACCCCCCATGGCACCTCCAGCTCCATGGCGGAGAAGTGACGGTCGACCGCCGCCTCGAAGCTGTCGCCCTGCTCGAGGCGCAGCTTGGCGCGGGCCGCGGCGTCCTCCTCGGCGAGTGACTGCGCCGGCGCCGGCGCCGCTGCCGCCGGTGCGTCCGCTGCGGTGGGAGCCTTGGCTGCGCGCGCGGGCGCGCCGCCGTCGGCACCCTCACTCGCGCTGCCGCTCTCGCCGCTCGCCGCCGGCGATGGCGCCGGTGCTGGCGGCGGACCGGACTCTTTCTTGTAGAAGAAGTCGAGCTTACCGCGCTTGGCCCCCGGCTCTCCAGGCGGCGGTGGCGGTGGTGCCTCGGCGTCATCTGCCGCCGCCGCTGCCGCTGCCGCCGACGCCTGCCTCCGAGCCGCCTCCGCCGCCGCCCCCTCAGCCCGCCTGGCGGCGTTCTCCCGCGCCGTGCGGCATGCGCGGCAGTGGAGCAGAAGGGCACGGTCGTGCCTGGCGGACGTACTGGTAAACCCTTCCGCTTTGGTGCAGCCGACAACGTCGTGGAACGGCACGTCGCCCCTCATGACAAAGGGCTCGCGGATCCCGTCGTCGTCGATCTCGAATCGCGTGCCGTCGGGGCGGAGCGAGACTTTCCGTTTCTTGCTGTTCGGTAGCGTCCCGACTATGGCGCCGACGGGCACTGCCACGGCAAAAGGAAGAGAAGATGAGCCCGCCGCAGCGGTGGGCGGCGCCTGCGCGATGCCAGCAGCGGGCGCCGGAGGGGCGCCGCCTGCCCCGACGCCCTGCACGGCCGCAGCCAATGCGGCGGAGTCGTCAGCGACGGTGGCCGACCCCGCCGGTGCGTCGGCCATGCTAGCCTGTGTCCCCCCGAGCCCAGCCTTGGGTGCTCGGCCTGTACTAGCACGCGGACGGCTTTCTTTTTAGTTTCCCATAAGTAAGGTAGGTAGGTAGGTAGGTAGGTAGGGGCACCGCAGGGGCCGGTCAGGTTTTTCCAGAATTTCATCATGAGGGCCGCCCAAGCAAAAATAATATACACCTGGACCCACCTTGCTTCGGCAGCAACGGGCAGGAAGAAATCGCGGCCGCCCCAGCGGCTCCACACCATTTGACGACGTCGGGGATCACAATGTGACGACCAAAACGATCTTGGGGGCCAGGGTGAGACAACAGGTCGGGGTGCCACACGGGGCACACCACAGGCGTATTCTAGAGGGGGAAAAGAAACGGGGAATGAGGGGCCCCGCCACGAGAAGTGCGTTCTGGGGATGCAGAGCGTGCAAAGCGGCTAGGGATGAGGCCACAAAAGAGGCGCGCGAGGCAAGGAGGAGACGCGGGGAACTGAAAGACTGGGACGACTGGAAACAAGAAGACAGTGAGCCACCACAGGCGTCGTTGGCGCACATACTGAGCGGCAGCTGCGCTGGAAATAAGGAAGAGGCGCGTCAATTCATGCGGAAGCTCGACAAACACACAGCGAGGGCGACAGCAATAGTCGAACGGGCGGCGCCGGACTCAAAAGACACCGCTACATTCCTGAGACGCGCGAGGGCAGCCTCCTTAAAGGCGAAAGGGTCTAGATTTGGAGCGCTCGCCGAAGAGGAGTACGACAAAATAGCGCCCGTGATTGCCTGCACGCTACCCGCACTCACGGACTCCATGCCCGAAAGAAAGAGAAGGGAGCTCGCGGGAGAGGTGACGAGTGAACTACAGGTAGTGGGGAAGGCAGCCTCGATGGCCATACAGACATGGGTGCGAAACAACGACAAGACCAAGGCACGGGCAGAGGAACGAGAGAAGAATATAGGGTGGATAAAGCGCCTGTTCACGGCATGGAGGGTGAGCCACACCGAACGTACCGAGCGAAGAGCCGAGCGGAAGGAGGACGGGGAAGATGACTCAGAGGAGGACGAACCAGTGGAAATCCAGTTGTCAGATGTCACGATGCATCCGAAGGGGACCCCAGCGCCGGCATCATCCGTAGAGGCACGAGTGTTCGAAGAGAGAGTGGACCTGAGCAACGACATGACTTGGAGGCAAATGATCGGAGTGGGAGTCAGAAATGTGGTCCTTGCGCGAGGGGAGCTCGATAGACTCGAGGGGCCAGGATACGCCGCGAGGAGGACGGAGTTGCGCCGAAAGGCAAAAGAAACCGCGAGAACAAGGGACCGGCAGGCGGCGGCGTCACAGGACGAGGCAGAAGAGAACGATGCGACAGAGGAGGAAATGACAAGGGAGAGAACGACGAGAGTGGGACGACCGCGAGGTGGCATGAAGGTTGCAGCGAGAAGCGGCGAGAGACTGCGAAGAGAGATAGGAAGAGGCAGACTCCCTAGGGTGGGCGACGGCTAGCGCACCACACACCTCTCCTTAAAATCCCTGTGTGGTGGCGGCGTGCCGTCCTCCCATCCCTCCCTTGGGTTGTCTGTTTTCTTTCTTTCTTTACCAGGCGCGTTGGCCGCGAGGGCCGCCACCGTGCCCGCCACCCCCGCCTCCGCCTCCACCCCCGCCGCCGGCGGAGCCGCCACCGTGTGGCCCCACTCGGAATAATCAGAGGGATCCGGAGCCGCCCCACCGGAGGCTGGAGTACCCGAGAGGAGGAGCTGGGGGAGGGGAGTCGCCGCAATACGATAACGGACCCGCCGGCGAACCGGGGGGCCGTGGCCGGAGGGCCCCGGGGGGGGCTTGGGGTCAACTCTCGGAGGAGGTGAGAGTCGAGCTGACTCGGCCTCTGCGAGTGGAACCGGGCCGTGTGAGCCCACCAGGAGTAGACCCGTCGCGGCGTTGGATAGACCGCCGTGACTTACGACAAAAGGGACCGTGCCTTCCCGAGTTTAGTGAGGAGCAGGAGGAAGGGGAGGGCGAGCCGAGGACGATAGAGAGGCCACGGGTGCGGGCGCGACTCGCTGACCGGGGAGAGCCGGCCCGACCTCCCGGAGAGGAGTGGCGACGAGTGATGCCGCCGCCCTCACCCGGGGAGTCGGGCGTGGGATCGCCGGAGGCGGAGTCAACAGGATCAGGCAGAGAAGACGAGACGGCGGCGGGGCCGCAGCCGAAAAAGGCTAGGAGGGGAGGTCGGGCCCCGCGCCCGTCGCACAACTATCGGGATGCGGCCAGGAGGAAGGACCGAGAGGTGGGGGAAGACGCCCCGGAGTGAAAGTTGGGAGACCTCGAAGAGGGGCCCGGTGTGGGGAGGTGCCGGGTGTGGATGGGCGTCGAGTCCGTGTCGAGTGTTTACTAGCTCCGAGTAGAGGGGGCGTTCTGCTGCTAGGGGAAACCTGGAGCGCGGAGCTAACCCTCGGAGACCCGTGTTTACTTTAAGGCCCTTGCCCTGCGAATGCGCACCCCCCCTAGCTAGGGGTCAGGGCTCTCTAGCCCGTAGCCCGATGCCGATCATCCGGCTCGCTGGGTGCGCTTCTCAGCTCCCCGGCCCTGGATGTGAGGTTAATGACTGCACTCCAAGTGCTCCAAGTGCGGTGATTTCTTTGGCCTCCCGCGTCCACCCATACGGTGTCCAGTCCGAGCCTGACTGTTCTTCACCTTTCTACCCAACCTAACAGCAGACAGGCTTGACCCTTGACACAGGCGGGGGCGCGCACATGCTGGTTGGTACTTCTCTCTATACACACACAAGAGAGAAGAGATAACACAAACACTAAAAATCTCTCTCACAAGAGAGAGAATAAAAATCTCGCACTCTCACACACCGGAAAGATCAAAGAAGAAAATCCGACGTCCTCGACCTGTTGAAGAGTGCTGTTTTACACATAAAGGCCTCTTTGCGCTCCGTCCGAATATTGCGATCAAACACGAAGCAATCGTTGTCGCAGCAATCACGAATCAGAGTACAGAGATATATAGACTAGAGAGAGGGCCCTCGATCGACAGTCCGAGAGGTCAGAGCGGAGACAGATGTGTCGCTGCCGTGGCGTGCGATGCGTCGTGTAAACAAATGCATCGGTGTGCCATGCCGGGTGGACAAAATTGCCTTACCGCCGCCGCCACATATGGCGCGGGTGGCGCTGCCCCAGGGTCGGCGCCACAGGCCCCACAAGGCCGCCCCCCGCTACTTGTAGAGGTTTTTGATGGCGGAGACGTGCGTGCCCAGCTGGTTCGACATCGCCGAGGAGCAGGAGACGTCGCTCGAGCCGTCGCCTCCAGCGGGTTCGGCGTCGGCCGGCGCCGTGGGCGAGGCGTCGAGCAGGGAGGGCGGGGAAGTGCGTGCAGGGGGGAGGGCGGCCCTCCGAGGCATCGACCAGCCCGGGCCCGTGTCTGGAGGCCGGCTCCCCACGGTCTGGACCACGGTCTTCCAATCCGCCACCTCCCCCCCCCCGTCGCGAGGGCTGTGCATGCTGAGCACCTCGAGCTCTTCGTCGCCGCCCGCCGCGTCTCCGTCGATTGCGAAGGCGCGCAGCAGCTCGGTGTGGGCGAGGCGGCGCTCTGTGGAGGCCGCCTCGATCTCGCCGTCGAAGACCTGGCGGGGGAGGCGAGAGGAGAGGGGCGGTGAGAGGGGGATGGGACGGGGGGCGAGGACGAGAGGGTGAGGAGAGGAGCAAGTGAGAGAGGGGCAGTGAGAGAGGGGCAGTGAGAGAGGGGCAGTGAGAGAGGGGCAGTGAGAGAGGGGCGAGGAGAGAGGGGCGAGGAGAGGGGCGGACCTGAGGGCGACCGCAGAGCGAGCTGGGGCCCTCTCACCCCCGCCGCCCCTAGCTACGCCTCCCCCCCCCCCCCCCCCAAAGAGCATTCTGCAACCTCACATGAGCTATTCTTGGACATGAAGGTGACACTCACCCCGTTCAAGGCAAACGCCTAAAGTAAGAAAGAAAGAAAACTGACTACCTAAGGGAGGGATGGCAGGACGGCACGCCGCCACCACACAGGGATTTTAAGGACAGGTGTGTGGTGCGCTAGCCGTCGCCCACCCTAGGGAGGCTGCCTCTTCCCATCTCCCCTCGCAGTCTCTCGCCGCTTCTCGCTGCAATCTTCTCATGCCACCTCGCGGTCGTCCCACTCTCATCGTTCTCTCCCTTGTCATTTCCTCCTCTAGAAAGAAAGAAAACCGCCGCCCCTTGTTCCTCTTTCCCTGATCTAAAATCCCCGACCGAGCGCGGCTTATCGTGGTATTGCGCTCCTGCTCCCGCTCCCCTTGGAGTGAGCCCAGGCGATCACGGCACGTATTTCCGCTCTTAATTGTCGCTCGGAACTTCTCTTCCTCCCT